CGAAGCTGACATCGAAGAACGATGACGCAGGCCAGAAAGATCAAGTCAATGTCATCGGACTGACCGAGACGAAAAAGGCACCGCCCGCTACACGCCGTTTTCGATACTGGAGAAGAACTGTTCCTTGGAACATGCGACAGCAGAGGCGTTGGCGGTGTGGGTGTCCTCGTCAACACGCACTTGGCCATAAACATCGATTCGTACGAAAGCCTTACGACCCGAATCGGACGTTTGAGATTGAGAAGATGTGGTTCAACTCCTGCTTTGACAATCTTCGTCGCCTACGCACCAAACATCAGCTACGACGAAGGAGAACACGAAGCATTCTATATGGAATTGGAGAAGTTCTACAGGGAAGATCATACCTTCTTCAAGGTCATCGTCGGCGACTTCAACGCCAAGATTGGCCCAAGAAGAACGGCTGAAGAACTTCACATCGGTACTCACGGAATGGAATGGAATGAGCAGGGTGAGAGACTGTCGGAGTTTATCATGTCGACCAACACCATCCATGGTAACTCACAGTTCCAAAAGCCCCTCACCTTCGTTGGACTTGGGAGTCACCTGATGGACAGTTCCATAACGAGATAGACCACATCATCTTCAATCGAAGGTTTTGCCTGACCGACGTCGCTGTTGTTCCAAAGTTCTACACGGGATCGGACCATCGTCTCCTCCGCGCAAGATTCCACTTCTCGATGCGTGTTGAGAGAGCAGCAAAGTTCAGGAAGCGAAATCCCAGGACAGTCATCAACTGGGACCACTTCGCTTCCCTCGTCAGCTTTGGAGGGGATCGTCAGCGGAAAAACATCGACGAGGAGTACTATCGGCTCGTTGAACATCTTCACGATTGTGGCAAGGAAGGCAGAGTTTGAAAGTCACCAAGGGACGTCTGTCTCCGGAAACTCTCGAACTGATACGCCAGCGTGGAGCCGCACGAGCTGCAGGCAATCACCGACTCACGTCCGAGCTTGCGAAGCTATGCAGAGAGGCGATAAAGGAAGATCTCAAGGAGCGAAGAGCAGCAGTATTAGCTGAAGCAGCAGAGGCTGGGAGGAGCATCCGCAATGCCCGCCGAAGCTTTGCCAGCTACAAGACCAAGATGACCTGCCTCCGACGTCCAGATGGAACTGCATGGTAGCCATGTCCATCTGCCTACTTATCAACCGCAAGAGGATGGATACGTTGTCCCTTCAGTTCTCTCTTCCGAAGTCCGACACGCCATCAAGTCGGTGAAGAATTGTACAGCGCCCGGTCTCGACAGGGTTAAACCGGAACATCTGAAGAACGCACCGCCAGTTATCATCAGAACTCTGGCTCGACTCTTCACGCGCTACCTGTCGGAATGCAAGGTACCCACTCCGTGGAAAACCAGCAGGACCGTGTTGCTGTACAAGAAGGGAGACCTGGACGACATTGGCAACTATCGCCCAATCTGCCTGCTGTCTGTAATCTACAAGCTATTCACTCGAGTCATCCTTAACAGGATCGGCAGAATACTAGATGAAGGACAGCCATGCGAGCAAGCAGGGTTTCGAAGAGGGTTCAGCACGATCGACCATATCCACACGGTTAAGACTCATTGAAGTTTCACGGGAGAGTACAAGATGCCGCTTTGTCTCACGTTCATCGACTTGAAGAAGGCCTTCGACTCTGTGGAGACAGAAGCGGTCATCGAAGCCTTGGGCAACCAGGGCGTCCCTACTCAGTACAAAGATTCTTCGTGAGCTCTACAGCAACTTTACGACCAGGATCTCACCATTCTACAAGGAGGTCATCATCGACGTCAAGAGAGGGGTTCGACAGGGCGACACCATCTCGCCCAAACTCTTCAGCGCCGCTCTCGAGAACGTCATGCGTCAACTGGAATGGGAAGACATGGGAGTGAAGGTCGACGGCCGGCAACTACACCACCTTCGTTTTGCTGACGACATCGTTCTTATAACGCCGAACATCGAGCAAGCGGAGCGAATGCTGGCTGATTTCGACTGCGCCTGTGGTAAGGTTGGTCTGCAGCTGAACCTAACGAAGACGATGTTTATGAGGAACGGATTGGTTCCTGATGCCCCATTCACGCTCAACGGAACGAACATCACCGAATGCTCCAGCTACGTGTACCTAGGTCGGGAAATCAATGATGAACGATCTAGCTCCAGAGCTGGCAGGAGGAAAATGAGCGGCTTTGGGAAGCGTATAAGGACATCGAGGGAGTAGTGGAAAGAATCCGGCTCCGTGCCCACCTCTTCGATTCCGCTGTCCTTCCTGCCCTAACCTACGCCTCAGAGACTTGGACTCTGCGCAGGCAGGACGAGCATGCGGTCAGCGTTATCCAACGCGCTGTCGAGAGGACGATGCTAGGAGTAACCCTACACGCAAGTGCAGAGGGGAATCCGGAGTTCGGAACTACGCCAACGATCGAAGATCAGGGACGCTGCCGTTTTCGCCAAGGAATCGAAGATAAGGTGGGCCGGACACGTCATGCGATTTTGCGATGACCGTTGGACCAGAGCGGTTACCGACTGGATCCCTCGGGACGTCAAACGAACACCTGGACGACCGCCGGCCCGATGGTCAGACTTCTTCACGAAAGCTCTGAACGAAAGGAATGAACGGCTTCGTGTCCCTCGAGCAAGGAGGATCCACTGGACCACTCTAGCACGCGACAGGGACGAATGGAGACGTTGCTGGCGCCGCTCGAGCAAATCGACGATATTACGGGAACTTCGTATAATGGTGACAGGACCCATACCATATTTACCTGACCTAACCGATTACCTACACCTTAGAAGGCCAGAAAGTGACGTGAGCTCTCGATCCTTTTTTTTCTTCGCAATTGTGGTCCAGGGCGACTAATGGAGACGTTGCTGGCGCCTGCTCGAGCAAATCGACGATCAACGCGATGACAGGTGATACAGGTGAGGTGATTCTCCCCACATGCGGGTTAGTCAATCACTAACTCATCTCATTTGTCTACTTCAATGGAACAGCACAGCGACCCCGGCGATTTGTATCAATCCATGTCTGTGTCGACATATGATAAGTTACCGCGATGCATGAGTTTGAGAGGAACTAGATATTTGTTGGTCGGTCAGGAGTCGCATGCATACTGGTCATGTCCACTGTTCGGCTGTGGTTACAGGTGCATGCATTCCGAGCAACGTCGGGCACTGAACCTGTGACCTGAACGGTAAGCGTGGAAATTTTTTTTTTTTTTTTGGGGGCCTGTTGCAAGACGTAAACACCCGCTATTGCGATTGGTCGCAATCCTCCATCTACTCTTCTAGAAGCAGCAGTGGCTGCAGGCCATATTGCTCCTTATGAAAGCCATAGTAGATTGTGTGCAGCAACATTCATTCTGGACCACACTCGTTACAAACCTCCCTTCTTCCCACTTCCCGGGGATTCCTCCTCGCTGATGTCACCCTCATGATGTCTCTGAGACTTGCTGTAATCAGGAACACCCCTACGTTCCCCATTAACTTTTCCCTGCTCAGTACACTCCTCTTGTCCTGTCCCAGCAAACCGCTCGTTCTATGTGCCCCTTTTGGCTCCAGATTGAAGCCGATCGCTCTATATATAAGGTCCCCCTTCCATGTCCATGACTGTAAGGCTTTTAGCAGTACGCTTGCACAGTTTCATCAACAAGCATCAAATTCAAACTCTAATATGTGATGTTGTCAATTAAATGGCGCCATCTTCAAAAACAGATGTCATTTTCGTGCTCTGCGGTAATTTTGAGGCGCTAACATAAATTGCAAAAGTTTGTCATCACGGAAGATCGAACTTTAGATCATTTCTTCCTCGCTGTTTTGACATTCCTCGGAACGTTCAGGAAAAATGGACCAGGGTTCTAAATCCCTCACATGAGCCTCTGCAATGTTCAAGAAATCTTTTTGAAACACTCCATGTCCTGAAAGACCCGGAAAACGATGGTTGCTGGGCCGATTTATAAAAGTTCCACCAAGTCAGAGAACTGAAAAATCAAGGGGTGGCATTAGCATTGACGGGGGTTTCTACTTCAACAACGCCACACAGGGGGCATTAAAGACATTTCTTTCAGAATTTGGAAGCATGGAGGCGCTGGTCATGCTCAATGGGTCTTCGAAGTATTTACCATAATCGACTCCACTGAAGGCGGTTTTGAGGGGGGTGTGTGCGCATATGTTTCGGAAACTATCCAACATTAGAAAATTTCGGATTCACGAATTATGTAAAGAGCTTCAGGCTGAGGCAGTTACGATAACGCCCCTTGGCTTGACGAATATGACAGATGACGTCATATTGCGGCAGACGGTGAAGGAGGTTAAGGAGGGCCTACGCTTAGTTATAGTGGGGCATTAGTGGGGCATTAGGGGAATCTTTGCTGAGGGACTTTCGCCAACGACGGCAATCCCTGCGAAGAAAAAAGGGCCGAAGTACGGCATGGGCAAAATGTCTTTTTTTGCCACCCCCCCCGCCTCTGTAAATGGTCCTATAGAGATCTGCGTAAAACTTTGACTGAAAAAAACATTCATCTTTGGTGTACACAAAAATCGATGACAGTATGCCAATTGAGCGACATAAGAACGAAATAATTGAAAATCGTAAATTTCGTCCAAAAGCGATGAAATTCAAATTTTGTGGATATGGCATAAGGAAAATAAACATTAAAAACATATGAATCAAGATATTCGAATGATCGTAAAGCCATATGGCAGGGATATAACGGTCGCAACGGTCGACTGATCGAGATCATCACATCGGTCTTCGAACATGAAACGGTTCCTTTTCGTGTTACTCGTTGTTGGAGTTACCCGGGTAAGTCCTCGTAGGTGGCGACTTTAGGCGAGCTCGACAGCCAAATGAGACGAATTTTAAGGCCTGTCAACCAGTGCCGGCACCGTCTGGGGGTTTTGCTGGTTATACTGTCCCACACAAACAAAGAGCGACATCAAGTTAGTCACCATCGTTGACTACGATAAGGAAAAGGTCCCACAATACATGGGCTATTTCCCAGCAACACATGTGAGTGACGATTTCCTCTATTCTCCATAATCTAGACCTACACTCTGGTCTCGAAATTCGCTTCAGATCGAGCAGTACTCCAACAAGCTGGGAAAATTCGCTAATCTCAGCTCAGCAGACGTCGATGGCAATTTTGCTTTCACTTTCTCAATTTTGCACCGATTGTGACAAGGTACGGCACCGGTGATGTTTTCAAAGCTTTTCTGCATAGATATATGCATTGAATGTCAGCGTCTACAGGAGCGACACAGTCTCAACAATTCTGTCTTTTGAGGTGTCGCAATGGATGAAAGAAGTCGTAGAAAAGGGGCAGTACTACAAAAATGCGCCTGTAGAATGCATCCACAATCAGACTACACCAACAGAACCGAAAACAACGGCAGAAGAAACGGCAACAGCTACAACAGCGCAGTCGCAACCAGTGGTGCCAGAAGCAGCTACAGAAGAAGAGGAAACGAATACAAAGCCAGAACCGAAAACAACAGCAGAAGAAACGGCAACAGCTACAACACCGCAGTCGCGACCAGTGGTGCCAGAAGCAGCTACAGAAGAGAGAACGAATACAAAACCAGAACCGAAAACAACGGCAGAAGAAACGGCAACAGCTACAACAGCGCCAGTAGTGCCAGAAGCGTGCAGAAGAAAAGGAACGATGCCGAAACGATAGAACGCAGGAGTAGTCCAGGATTACCGTGAAATCAGCGTTTCTTTGTGGAATAAATCTTGAGCAGAATTTGATGACATTAGTTTTTTTTGATAATTTTTATGGTGCTTCACCACTGAATTGGATGAACGTGGGTGAAATGTCATCAAATGTATATCCGGTGCCCGACAGGAGGCCCATCGCGCGGCAAGAAGGCAGAGTCAGCGGACGATTCGCAGCGCGTGCTGGGCAATGGGGCACTCTATTAAACTTGACGCGAAAACTACAGCGCGATGGGACTGTTCGCTGACTCTGCTTCTTGCCGTTACGTGTCGGGGCACCCGAAGTTCATGACTTTGAACAAGAGACGAATACATGTCGCATTCCGAAATGGGATCGACCAATGCCAAAAGTTTTTTTGTCCATCTCTCTTGTGAGTAGACAATTTTTCACTGGTTTGACATGTTGTTTGAAAGCAGAGATTACGATAGGTTCAAGAAGGGCTTGGAGGAGACGTGGTGGTGCTCAATGGTACGTCGGTGGCGAAAAAAGCGGAGAAATCCGTCAAAAAACGCAAAACGGGACCCCTTTTTTGGCCGTTGGTTTTCACTCATGAACAGGTGACAGCTAAGAAAGCGGGCGTATGGACGAGTTCAGCGAAACACGATTGGTAATACACTGGTGTGCAAAACTTAAGGGACGGAAGTAACTTTCACATGATATCTCACTGCTAGTTAACCTAGGTGGATCAAATTTGGCACATATATAGAAGTAAATGTTGCGGTACAGTGCAGAGAGTTACTAACAGAAAAGCGCAAAGGGACGATTAGAAAAGACATTTTTCTTCAAATACCCTGTCTGAAGCGGTCGATGGGTGAGGCTACTCCAACTCATGGTAGACATTCAAAAGAGAGGAGCTGGTTCTTGATGGGGTGTATGAACACTACGGACTGCAAAGCATGCTCTGCCACGTGCTCCAATACTGGCCACAAGGTTGGTTAAGAGTTCTTGTGGAGAAGCGATCCATTCCTTGAAGACCGCGATTGACAACTGCTGGACAATTGTTGGCGCATGGGGATGCGCTACAATAGCTCTCCTGAATGCACGCCACACGTGCTCCATAGGATTTCGCTGCGGTTAGCGGGCAGGCTTCATCCGGAAGAGGCTGCTCGATGCTCTCGCACCTTGCCCTCCACACGTTGAAGTTGAGATCAAAGATACCCTTTAAAAGATGCACACCCTCCCTATGGCCTACCACCTCAGCGCGGTGGGAGGGTGAAACGGGTGGCGTGCGGGCGTGTTCTTCGTGTTGTTCGGGCGTTATGGACAGTTCCATAACTTGATAGACCACATCATCTTCAATCGAAGGTTTTGCCTGACCGACGTCGCTGTTGTTCCAAAGTTCTACACGGGATCGGACCATCGTCTCCTCCGCGCAAGATTCCACTTTTCGATGCGTGTTGAGAGAGCAGCAAAGTTCAGGAAGCGAAGCCCCAGGACAGTCATCAACTGGGATCACTTCGCTTGTCAGCTTATGGGAGGATTCCGTCATCGAAAACATCGACGAGGAGTACTATCGGCTCGTTGAACATCTTCACGATTGTGGCAGGAAGGCAGAGAGTTTGAAAGTCACCAAGGGACGTCTGTCTCCGGAAACTCTCGAACTGATACGCCAGCGTGGAGCCGCACGAGCTGCAGGCAATCACCGACTCACGTCCGAGCTTGCGAAGCTATGCAGAGAGGCGATAAAGGAAGATCTCAAGGAGCGAAGAGCAGCAGTATTAGCTGAAGCAGCAGAGGCTGGGAGGAGCATCCGCAATGCCCGCCGAAGCTTGCCAGCTACAAGACCAAGATGACCTGCCTCCGACGTCCGGATGGAACAGTTACTGCATCCCGAAGGGCAATGGAGAAAGTCATCCACGACTTCTACTCGGATCTCTTCGATAGCCATGTCCATCTGCCCACTTATCAACTGCAACAGGATGGATACGTCGTCCCCTCAGTTCTCTCTTCCGAAGTCCGACACGCCATCAAGTCGGTGAAGAATCGTACAGCACCCGGTCTCGACAGGGTTAAACCGGAACATCTGAAGAATGCACCGCCAGTTATCATCAAAACTCTGGCTCGACTCTTCACGCGCTACCTGTCGGAATGCAAGGTACCCACTCCGTGGAAAACCAGCAGGACCGTGTTGCTGTACAAGAAGGGAGACTTGGACGACATTGGCAACTATCGCCCAATCTGCCTGCTGTCTGTAATCTACAAGCTATTCACTCGAGTCATCCTTAACAGGATCGGCAGAATACTAGATGAAGGACAGCCATGCGAGCAAGCAGGGTTCCGAAGAGGGTTCAGCACGATCGACCATATCCACACGGTTACGAGACTCATTGAAGTTTCACGAGAGTACAAGATGCCGCTTTGTCTCACGTTCATCGACTTGAAGAAGGCCTTCGACTCTGTGGAGACAGAAGCGGTCATCGAAGCCTTGGGCAACCAGGGCGTCCCTACTCAGTACATCAAGATTCTTCGTGAGCTCTACAGCAACTTTACGACCAGAATCTCACCATTCTACAAGGAGGTCATCATCGACGTCAAGAGAGGGGTTCGACAGGGCGACACCATCTCGCCCAAACTCTTCAGCGCCGCTCTCGAGAACGTCATGCGTCAACTGGAATGGGAAGACATGGGAGTGAAGGTCGACGGCCGGCAACTACACCACCTTCGTTTTGCTGACGACATCGTTCTTATAACGCCGAACATCGAGCAAGCGGAGCGAATGCTGGCTGATTTCGACTGCGCCTGTGGTAAGGTCGGTCTACAGCTGAACCTAACGAAGACGATGTTTATGAGAAACGGATTGGTTCCTGATGCCCCATTCACGCTCAACGGAACGAACATCACCGAATGCTCCAGCTACGTGTACCTAGGTCGGGAAATCAATATGATGAACGATCTAGCTCCAGAGCTGAGCAGGAGGAAACGAGCGGCATGGGGAGCGTTAAGAACATCGAGGGAGTAGTGAAGAAGACGAAGAACATCCGGCTCCGTGCCCACCTCTTCGATTCCGCTGTCCTTCCTGCCCTAACCTACGCCTCAGAGACTTGGACTCTGCGCAGGCAGGACGAGCATGCGGTCAGCGTTATCCAACGCGCTGTCGAGAGGACGATGCTAGGAGTAACCCTATACACGCAAGTGCAGAGGGGAATCCGGAGTTCGAACTACGCCAACGATCGAAGATCAGGGACGCTGCCGTTTTCGCCAAGGAATCGAAGATAAGGTGGGCCGGACACGTCATGCGATTTTGCGATGACCGTTGGACCAGAGCGGTTACCGACTGGATCCCTCGGGACGTCAAACGAACACCTGGACGACCGCCGGCCCGATGGTCAGACTTCTTCACGAAAGCTCTGAACGAAAGGAATGAACTTCGTGTCCCTCGAGCGAGGAGGATCCACTGGACCACTCTAGCACGCGACAGGGACGAATGGAGACGTTGCTGGCGCCCGCTCGAGCAAATCGACGATCAACGGGACGACAGGTGATACAGGTGAGGTGATTCTCGCCACATGCGGGTAAGTCCAAAATCACTACTCACAATCGATTTGCTCTTCCAATGAGAAGAAGCACGCGACCCACAAATCAGTGGTCCATCGCTAATGTCCCGACACCTAGCAAATGTTCCCGCCGATGCGCGGGTTTCGAAGGAACACCAGATACTGTTGGTCGGTCAGAGAGACCATGCCTATACGGTCACTGTACCACTGTTTGGCCTCACAATCCTGATAAATGTTTTTGCAACTGCAGCCTGTGACTGACGTAGGTCAATTCTTGCCTGTTGCAAAACGTAGCAATCACCTGCTGTTGCGGTTGATCGTGATCCACCACCTACTCTTCTAGGGGCAGCAGTGGCTGCAGTCCATATTGCTTCTCATGCGCAACAAAACAATGCTGTGAGCAACATCAAACTCCTGGACCACACTCGTTACAAATCTTCCTTTCTTCCAGTTTCCCAATGATTCTTCCTCGCGTAAAGTCACCCTAGTGTTGTCTCTGAGACTTGCTGTAATCAAGAACACCACTACATTCCACAGTAACTTCTCCCTGCTCAGTACACCCTCTTGTCCTGTCCCACCAAACCCATCGTTCTGGGTGGCCACCCCTTTTGGCTCCAGATTGAAGCCGATGCAAGATATATGAGGCCCACTTCCATGTCCATGACTGTAAGGCTTTTAGCAGTACGCTTGCACAGTTTCATCAAGTCCATCAAATTCATACGTTGTGTCAATTTAAATGGCGCCATCTTCGAAAACAGATGTCATTTTTCGTGCTCTGCGGTAATTTTGATGCAAAAGTTTGTCATCACGGAAGATCGAACTTTGGATCATTTCTTCCCCGCTGTTTTGACATTCCTCGGGCGTTCAGGAAAAATGGACCATGGTTCTGAATCCTCACATGAGCCTCTACAATGTTCAAGAAATCTTTTTGAAAAAACACTCCATGTCCTGAAAGACCCGGAAAACGATGGTTGCTGGGCCGATTTATAAAAGTTCCAACCAAGTCAGAGAACTGAAAAATCAAGGGGTGGCATTAGCATTGACGGGGGTTTCTACTTCAACAACGCACTATACAGGGGGGCAATAAAAAAGACATTTTGCTTCAGCATTTTGAAACATGATGCGCTGGTCAAGCTCAATGGGTCTTCGAAAGATCATTTACCATAACGACCTTTACTGAAAGCGAGTTTCGAGGGGGCTTAGTGGGAGCTAATGCCTCTAGAAAACTATCCAACATTGAATCGATTCACGAAATTATGTAAGAGCTTCAGGCTGAAGCAGTTACGGTAGGCCTCCTTGAGCTTGACGACGGTGACAGATGACGTCATATTCTGAAGACGGTGAGGGCAGTGAAGGAGGGCCTGCGCTTAGTGGCATTAGGGGAATCTTTGCTGAGGGACTTTCGCTCAACGACGGCAATCCCTGCGAAGAAAAAAGGGCCGATGCGGCATGGTCAAAATTCCGTTTTTTTTTTTTTTTTTTCTTGGCCCGTCGCAACCCCCCCCCGCCTCTGTAAATGGTCCTATAGAAGATCTGCGTAAAACTTTGACTGAAAAAAACATTCATCTATTCTGTTCTAAACACAAAAATCGATGACAGTATGCCAGATTGAGCGACATAAGAACGAAATAATTGAAAATCGTAAATTTCGTCCAAAAGCGATGAAATTCAAATTTTGTGGATATGGCATAAGGAAACTTATCAATAAACAATAAAACATATGAATCAAGATATTCGCGAATGGTCGTAAAGCATGTGGCAGGGCTATAAGGGTCGCAACGGTGACTGATCATCCCAACTCATCATCGTCTTTGAACTAACCGGTTCTTTCGTGTTGCTCTTTGTGGATTACTCGGGAATCTCGTAGAGCTGGGACTTACGACGAGGATCGCCAGCGAGCTGAGATGATTTTAAGGCCTGTACTTTGCAGTTGTGCCGGCCGGTCTAGTGTTTTGCTGGTTAACGTCCCAACACAACAAAGAGCGACATAAAGTTTAGTCAATCTATGACTACGATATAGGAAAAAGGTCCCAACACACATGATATTTCGCCTGCACTCGTGTGAGTGTGATATCCTCGTCTTTTCTAAGCTACACTCTGGTCTCGAAATTCGCTTCAGATCGAGGAATACTCTAATAAGCTGGGAAAATTCGCTAATCTCAGCTCAGCAGACGTCGATGGCAATTTTGCTTTCACTTTCTCAATTTTGGACACCGATTGTGACAAGGTACGGCACCGGTGATGTTTTCAAAGCTTCTCTGCATAGCATATGCATTGAATGTCAGCGTCTGCGACACAGTCTCAACAATTCTGTCTTTTGAGGTGTCGCAATGGATGAAAGAAGTCGTAGAAAACACGCAGTACTACAAAAATGCGCCTGTAGAATGCATCCACAATCAGACTACACCAACAGAACCGAAAACAACGGCAGAAGAAACGGCAACAGCTACAACAGCGCAGTCGCGACCAGTGGTGCCAGAAGCAGCTACAGAAGAAGAGGAAACGAATACAAAGCCAGAACCGAAAACAACGGCAGAAGAAACGGCAACAGCTACAACACCGCAGTCGCGACCAGTGGTGCCAGAAGCAGCTACAGAAGAAGAGGAAACGAATACAAAGCCAGAACCGAAAACAACGGCAGAAGAAACGGCAACAGCTACAACACCGCAGTCGCGACCAGTGGTGCCAGAAGCGGCTACAGAAGAAGAGGAAACGCATCCAAATACAAAGCCAACGCAGGAGTAATCTGGGATTACCGTGGAATCAGCGTTTCTTTGTGGAATAAATCTTGAGCAGAATTTGATGACAATAGTTTTTTGATAATTTTCATGGTGCTTCACCATTGAATTGGATGAACGTGGGTAAAATCCCATCAAAAGTTATCCGGTGCCCGACAGGAGGCCCATCGCGCGGCAAGAAGGCAGAGTCAGCGGACGATTCGCAGCGCGTGCTGGGCAATGGGGCACTCTATTAACTTGACGCGAAAACTACAGCGCGATGGGACTGTTCGCTGACTCTGCTTTCTTACCGCGGGACGGGCTTCCTGTCGGGCACCCGAAGTTATGACTTTGAACAAGAGATGAATACATGTCGCATTCCGAAATGGGATCGACCAAGCCAAAAGGTTTTTTGTCCTTCTCTCTGATGAGTAGACAACTTTTCATTGGTTGGGCATATTCTTCAATGGCAGAGATCACGATAGGTTCAAAAAAGGCTTGGAAGAGACGCGGTGGTGCTCAATGGCAGCGACGGTGGCGAAAAAAGCGGAGAAATCCGTCAAAAGAATGTGAAACGTGACCTACTTTTTTGCCCGTTGGTTGAACAGGTAACAGCGTATGGACGATTTCAGCGCAACGCGTTTGGTAACACCATGCCAAACCACGCTTCAATCGTTGCTCCAGTTGTGCCGCTGCTGGCAACGCAGCTCGTCCAAATCACCAACTAAACTAGTGGGCGGATCGCTTTTGGGGGCGGAGTGCTTTCGAAGTCCTGCTCAGCAACCAGCGCACCTTTCGTCGTGAAAGCGCCACACCTCGCTTCCTGGCAGCCAAGTAACTGATTCGTGTGGTGCATATGCTTCCCCGATGCGCTCCCACTTTATCGTAATCGCTGCCTTTAAGGTCATGAAATGTGCCTTTAAGTCCGTCTAGAGTAAGAGGAGTAACGCGAATGCTGGAAGTGTTACTGTATGACACGCATGCAATTCACAAAAGGAATGTCGAATTGGGGTCTAGAAATAAGGAGGGGCATTCGCAGGCAATGCAAAAGAAATTATGCCGAACACCGTAACGTCTATGAGAGTTTCCAAGGAACTAATGAAATAAGAACATGTCAAAAATTGAATTACCATTTAAAGGTCCAGCTGTTAATGAAACAAATCATGTCAAAAATCACAGGTCCTGGGTGACAGCCAGAAGTTTCATTTTTGTGTTTTTTCATCGGTCTTGTCCT